ACACTCATGTAGAAGACGGAAGCCTCCAAAAGTCTCACGAACTTTCTTTATTTGGGGTTAAGAACTTTTGGAAGCACAAACTTACTTGAGCATCACAACAGATTTAATATTGCTGGAAAACTAGGATTTGATGTGGGCAACTCTTCCTCAGGTGGAGAAACAAATGCTGCCGCAAGAACTCGTGTCTATCATGGGAAACAAAATCTACCAAAGTAGAGATTGGGTATACTAAACATGACGGTGTCGCTGCAGTCCAAATGGAGGTACTTGTAAATGAATCTCCTTGTTGGGCGGCAAAAGCAACTGTAACAGATGTGAATCTTCAAGCGAAGTTTAGAGTGGGAAAGGTTCGTGACGCATATTCGCATTTTGTGGGTGCTTTTTTCTAAATGCACGTGCGTTTATTTGGAAGCGATTTCCGGTTAATGTCCATACTCCTTAATTTAGTAGTTGATCGCCTTTTTCATGTTCAATCAATGACATGTAGCTGGGTTGTGGAGACTAGTCAATCAGTTAGGCAGGCAGGAAGGCAGTTGATCTACATTTTCATGTATCAACCAATCACATGGAGCTTGTTTGTGGAGACCAGTTAGTCAGTAGTTCAGTCAGTCAGGCAAACAGGCAGGCACGCAGCTGGCCAGGCAGTAAATTTTGGGCTTGACAGTCTGGCAAGCAGTCAACTGGTTAGCCAGTTGTTCAGTGCTTCACTCACGCAGGTATGTGTGAGTTTGATGGTCAGACAGACAATGTGTCAGCTATTCACTCAGTCAGTCAATAAATTAGTTTTTCATTTAATCAGTCTGAAAGGCAGGCATCCAGCATACAAATCAATCAATCAGTCAGTAAATCATCCAGCTACATCCAGGCACGCCTCCACCAGCGAAAAGAAAAATCACCAAGATGCTGGAATATTGATCAATCATAACTTAACAATCAGTTAGTCAGCGAGTGAGTCGGTCGGTCTCCTGGTCATTCAGTCAGTCAATGACTCAATCAGGCTGGCAGTCGGTCAGGTGGTCTTTAATTCATTCAGTTTGTCAATCAGCTTGTCAGCAAGTTGTCTTAATCTCTTGGTTTTACCAAACAGGAATCAGAAGAACAAGCAAAGCAGGACTCTGGAAAAGCCGCATTCTCTGGAGCATATCAGAATGATGTGAGTATTAACTTTTTTTTAATGGGAATAAAAATTTAGCCGATTTTCTTCTCTCTGTTGGCTCGAAATGTCAGCTTTGAAACTCTTTACGATAGTCAATTTACGTTACCCACTCAGTTGATAATACTAAATTACTTCGTGGCTATAGTTTACTTGTAGCTGGGAGTAAAGAGGTTATATTTCAACACTTTTGGCCTATTTCATTCCTTTTGCCCTAAGAAACAAGGCAACTAATCTTTCCTACCCTTAATAAAGTCTGGCTTCTTATAATCTTTCAGATCATCTCAGTTTCCCGAGTGACTATGACATAATTACAATCAAGGCATTGAGAACATCGTCATTATAGAAAACCAACATCGTCTGCAACTCTTAGGCGATTGAAAATATTGAGACATATTGTTTCTTTCGATCGCCATATAACTGAATTTTGAAATAACTTTTTTAATGCGTTTTTCTCTTTTCTTGTTTGTGTTTTAATCGTTTTATTTTTTATTTTATCACAGGAGGTGATGTTACTTGGCGAGGATGGACAAAGCAGTTTCTGATATTTTTAGCTTTATATTTTGATACCTGTGAGAGTACAAAAATGTAGTGAAATATTTTTTAAGTAGATTTAAAGTGACTTTGTGGATTTTGTGGTGGAGTTCTTCATTACGTCATCTGCTATTGAGCTCTTAATTCAGATGTATGTGAAATATTCGTCTAACTATGCGTAGATCATTCGTCACGGCATGAATTACTTTCAGAACCTTACGGCGGCGTGTTAAAGGATTCGCTTTCCATTGAGGAAAGGGACAAAGTTAAAGGAATTGGGATGAAGACCAGCAAATATGTTTTTATGGTCAGAAGACAGCGGTCGTTCATTCCTTTCTTATGCTCCATCGCAAGAAATACATTTCTGTTCTGTATAACAGTTGCTGCAACTTTTCCCTTCTCTTCCAAACTGAGAACACCAGTCAGAAAATCAGACGGCAGGGTTTCTGGTATGAAATAATCTTATTCCGAAATAAAACTACGAAACACATCAAAAACGACTAACATAATGCTAATTGCGTCGAAGTACTGATCTACTTGTAACCGACTTGACATTCGTTATAATAAATTACGAATAATACATTCGTTGTAATACATTACGAAGCTTTACTAAGAACAGATTTCAGGAAAGATCATTAACTCGTGGTTTTGGTTTTCAGCGATGAAACAAATATTTCACAATTTTCTGTTTTTTCTTCAGGTTCAATGTTCTATAGCCCATGTCCTCCTAACTTGGCTGGACATTTCTCATTTTTATCCTTTAAATAACATTCTACAGTGGGCCGTAACTTTTCGTAGCTTCTCACACATTTCTCCACTTTGTAACAAGTGATCACGCTCTCACTCAATTAGAGCGTGAATTGCCTCAGAGATGCACTCGACTCTCACAAAAATTAGGCGCAGAAATTTTTTCAAGGACTTGATACACAATGTCATGAACCCTTAAATGGGCTTCATCTGGCAAATGTGTATGTGTACCTAAAGGCTGTTCGTGATCGTGGGGGGGGTGCAGCATGACCCTTAGTTGGGGGTTTCTGGGACAAAATGCTTCATTCACTGATGAACATACTTGATTACCATTGTCGGGCTTTCGTTAAGGGGAGGGGGGGAGCGTTGTGCTCCATTGTGTATGTAGTGAGAGAATTGGATGGAGAAGGATCTTGTGGCCTTAACGCATACGCTTTAGTATAGCTTACATGGATAGTCTTTGAAGCAGGTTCTGAACTTAAATTGGTAGCTGATGGGGTTGAAACTGTGACCACTTCTGTTGTTTTTGTTGATACTGATGCAGGCGTGGGCAAGGTGACGTTTGCACCCGTAGTATAACCAGTAAAACACACAACATTAAAGCCAAACGCCTGAGTAAAAACTGATAAAAGGAGAGAGGTCTTGTGGCTCCGTTCAAAGAGACCACCTCTGCGCGTTTTCGGAATTTAAATATTTCGTATGAGACCCTAGGCTGATACTATTCAGTGAAATTTCAAACAAACAAACACTTCCACAAGACAGTGCATAGCTGAACTCTTAACAATATAGACAACAAAGCTTTTCACACTCATGACAAATTAGTCAATAAAGACCCACTAGGAGCCTGTAATACCTTGTCTTTGTTAGCTACTGTTACTGTCCTCACGCTAGACTAAGCAAACTTTGCGAAGCGCTTCTGATGCTGATATGTGGTCTCTTACTGGCAGCGGTGTCTCGACGGAGGCGCATACAAGAGAATAACAGAGTCACCCCTCCCTCCTGGTACAAAAAAGATATCTAAAAGGTATACATCAAAACGTCGACAGCAGACGACTGCGAGCAGCTAATGATTGACCACGAAAATTAGTACTGTCTGTCACGCTAATGGTTAGAAGTTTGTAGGAAAGTTTCTAACCTGTTTTCCTTCAACTTAAACCCTTGAGGAACTGATAGAATGGTATTCCTGGCGCATCTCTTCCTTAACCCTTTACCTCCCGGATCAAATTTGTAATTCTCCTTACTGTCAACCATTCAATTTTTGTCATGTCAGTTCAGAGAACTTAGTATTGGATCAACTAATTATTCCCAAATTGATATTTTTCTTTATTCTCATCACTTATCTAGTTGATATTGTACTGATATTGTAACGAGAAATTCTGTCTTGGTTACTCATGGGAGTTAAAGGGTTAACTAGCACGATCCGATGAGAGTCACAGCGCAAAGGAGATGTGAGGTTTGCATTATTTCCATTGTTGTTACCAATCTACAGTGGAGGGCAATATTATCCAAATGAAGCTAGTGAAGCATTTCTCTATGTGTCAAAACAACCCTGGAAAATTACAGTTTTCCTATTCAACGAGCATTGAGTCAGCATGGTGATCAATTATCATAGAATTTAGCTTTTTGACCAAAAAGGAACATAAAATTCATACAGAGAGGCTAAATACATTAGCAATATACTTTTCCCATGAGGCACGCGCACGGCAATAAATCCTGCGCCAAATCATCATGTGAATCTATTTTCGTAAATAAGCCGACAATAATTGTCATTCTTTGGCCTTTTTTTTCCTCCAAATAAAATTCAGAGAGGCTTTGCTTGCGTCCATCCTACTTTGGGGCTCAGCTAGTGCTCTAGTTTACAAGCATATTCCGTTGAACCCCAACCATTAGAGAGAGTCTGTGGGAATTTGAAGAAAGAGAAAATTCAAAGTTGTTAACGTTTAAGGTCTACTTTTAAACTGATAAATTGCTTTGTACTGCACCATCCACCGGGCAGAGATTTATACACTGCGGGATCTTGTTATCCAACCCTCGAACAACTGTCGTCAGATCTTTCAAGTAGGTACAGTATAACATGGTAATTTAGTATCATCAACTGATTTGATAACGTAAATTTGCCACTGTAAAGAGCTTAAAAGCTGTCTTTTCGAGCGTTAGCCCTTCGTCAGAGCAATTGGAGGAGTTGTGGGTTGTGTGCAGAAAATGGAGCTACGCTATTGGTGGGAATATGGTGACGAGAAAACAATGATAAATTAGTTGAATGAAAAGCGCTCGTGGATACCGTGGGCATCCCGACTCGGCACTCTTAATTCCCACGTTATCAACTCAATTGGCCATCGTAAAGAGATCAAAAGCTGACATTTCGAGTGTTAACCCCTCGTCAGAGCGATTGGAGGAATTGTGGGTTGTGTGTGGGTTTATATGCATACATTCACAGTCAGTTATCAACTCAGTTTAATAATTCTAAATTACCCTTTCAAGTATCCGTTGATTTTTCCATGATGTTCATCCTTTGTTTCTTATTTGTTCGAGTTAAGTTAAATGGTGACGGAATTTTGTCTTCCCATTCTGTGTGTAATCAAAGCTATAACGCATTTTAGGAGTTTGTTTGATCATCAGAATCCCGACTCGAGCACAAACAGCAATAGGACAGTTTGCACGTCATCACAAATGTGTAAAAAAGGGCAGTCTACGGTCCGTGTGTCATTCGTCCATTCAATTTTCGTTTAAAATCAAAAATTGAAAATTGATGTCAATTTTTGATACGAAAGTGCCAAATCGAAAATTTTTACTTTTTTTTTCTTTTTGATAGAATATTGAAACATAACTTATTTTCTACTTTAATCCTGTCAACAATAAAGAGAAAAATGAAACTGAGCCCTCTCCCCATGGCCAGGTCCGTTTCCTTGCTTAAGACGTTTGAAGGAAGTGAGAGTTTAACTATCTCCGCGGTCTTTTATGATGTTTTGGAGCGTCTTCCTCAGTTCTTTCCATTACAGCGAGCTGCTAGACTTTGGACGTTAGCTAAGAAGTTAAAAAGATCTTAGACTTAGTATTGGAGCATATTGGAGCGGGTGATGTACCCATATCGACTTTTCAGACGTCATACTGTAAAACATGGTTGGAATGAAGGTGAGGGAGAGGGAGGGGGTAAATTTCTGATACCATCCTCCCCTCCCCCCCCTCATGCCCGCCTGGGGTCTGCGAAGGAAGAAAAAAAAATTCGCACTCTTTTGGACTGTCCGTTCGCCGACATTATGGCAAGCAATAAAACCTTTGATTTGACTAAGGACGGAAAAGTGTTTAAATTACGAATAGCAGCGGGGGATATGACAGTTTTGAGGCTTTCTTGCTTTTTTCAGGCAATACACATTGCATGTATTTACATTTAGAGTCTTGCAAAATTGCCCTATGACATGACTGCAACAGTGCAAGATTAAGTAATCTTAGACAAAATTTAGATCGTGTTAAACTGTGGTTACCCTGTGAACAATTGTATTGGGGGTGAAATCTTCAACACTGAAAACAGCAAACGAGGAAAGTTGTATTTCTCAGCTGGAAACGAATTCGTTGTACTTGAGGAAGGAGTTTGGAGACATGACGTACTGGCCGACTGACTCAGAACGATTTAATGTCTTGCATTTTGACGATGAATCTTCTCTTCTTGTCATGGGGGAAGATTTGACGAATTCGCCATCAAACATCCTAAAGATAGCTGA